ATGAGGGTCCAAACAGCTGATAAAAACAGCACAATAATCCACACCACTCCATTCCATCAGTTAATGTCTTGTGAAGCGAAAAGCTGCATGTTTGTAAGAAAGAAACCCATCATTAAGACGTTTTTAAACTCCAAACCGGCTAAGCATACAGTTCCTCGATCCAATAATATTGTTTTATCCAGTGAAAAAGTCATTTTTCTGAATCAGGAGAGAAAGATGCACATATCAAGTTCGTTTACAAACGAAAACAGTAAAAAAAACAGCTCTAAACAAACATGTCAGGGATTTTGATGTGAGAGGACAACAGGGGATGGACTTTTTCACTTATTATGGATTATGGAGTTGTATTTTGGCGGTTTGAAGTGACGGTTTGAAGTTAAAACGCCTTAATGATGGATTTGTTTCTTACAAACATGCAGCTTTTCACTTCACAAGATGTTAACTGATGGACTGGAGTGGTGTGGATTATTGTGATGTTTTGATCAGCTGTTTGGGCTCTCATTCTGACGGCACCCATTCACTGCAGAGCATCCATTGGTGAGCAAGTGATGTAATGATAAATTTCTCCAAATCTGTTCCGATGAGCAAAAAAAAGCTCATCTACATCTTGGATGGCCTGAGGGTGCTAAATATTTGTTGTACTTTTGCTTGATTTGCTTATTGCCACATTTTATAACTCAGGTTTGAAGAAAAATTTGAAAAGGTGCCACATGATCAAACATGTATCTTGAATCTTGGTTCAATTTCTTTATTGCCATTTTAGGTATGCATGCAAGCTAACCAATACATTTTAAATTGAATTTTACACTTTTACATTTGCATTTCAGAAAATGGGTCTCAGAAGGAGCCCAGGCTTCTGGAAAAGAAGACCATCAAATCAGAACCAGAGGACTCTAGATAACATCTTGAGCCTCAAAGTGAAACCTGCGTTTTGTTTGCTCAGTGGATTTAGTACTGAAACTGTGTGGCCTTAAGAACTGTAAATGCCTAGAGATCCATTTATTTAGATTTTTAATTCTTAAGAATTATTTTTATTTCTAATTTTAGAGCAAAAAACATGAATGTCTTGCAGTCGGTGTACACAGAGAAATTGTCCAAGAGTGTATTTGTGCATTTTTTTTGTACATAATCTGTGTTTGTTTATTTGATAGCATGTCTTATTCGTAACTATTTTTATTTAAGCTATTCGTTATTCAACGGAAACACTGGAGTTTCGTAGAAAACGGTTGTGTAGTCCTTAGATTAGTTGATAAGGTTAAATGATGACATTCATCTGTTCGTATCGGTTTGTCGTTGAGGATGAACTTAACGTAAAAGAATACTGAATATGTAGAATTAGCTTTGCGTGTTTTTGCGATTGCGTCAGTTTAGATGTTAGTATTAGGAAAGTTTGTGTATTTGTTACCAGCAACTCTAGCCTTATTCTCGGCGTACAATAGTTTATCTCGCTGTCATTAAGCGTTAACTGTTACATTGTGACTGTGATTTTTCAGGAAAACAAATACTTTTTTTCATCACACGTGGGTGTTTTGTTCGTTAGCTGTGCTAATCTGTCATTCTGGTCTTTTCTGTGCACATTTGTTGTGTGTTTCATTCTTTATCTAGTCTTTGTGAAATTGTTCTACAAATAAAACCAAACTGGAAAAAACAGTTCACAAATTTTCTGTGATTTTTCAGAAAAAAGTTTGCAAACTTTTTTGTTCATTACATGTTTGTTTTGTTAGTTATTGTCAGTTTTAGAAAAGGTTTCTAAAAATATGGACATTTAAATTTAAAGCCTGAAATGTTTTCTAAAGAAACATGATAATGGGGGGAAAAAAAACATGACATGAGAGGAAAAATTATATTTCAATGCTTTAGTGTTCTCTCACAAAACTTGTGTGTTTCCCTGAGAAACTTTGCATTCGTTCACACTACTTTAGTGATGTGAGGAAACTATATTTCAGTGCTTTTGAGAACAAAGCAAAGTCAGATGCAGTAGTTTTGCAAAAGTAAACAAAAACAGCACATAATTATAATATAATCCAATAAATAATAAAATGATAAAATATTTAAATGCTATATCAAATATAAACTAAATATAAAAAATATATACTTTATTATTAATTATAATTCTGTATTTAATATTTCACATACAATACAGCAATAAACAAAAGCAGCAAATAATTGTAATATATTTACAATAAGTAATAAAATATTGAACAATATTTAAAACACAAAATATAACAATATAGAAAATAAATTGTATTAATAATAATTCAATATCTAATATGTTACAGCATTTACAATATTTACATATTTTACAGCGAATAACTATTTTATCAAATAAAAAATATATATAAATACAAAATAAGTATACATTTAAAAATATATTTTAATTTATATTTGTGTAGGGTTGGTGCAGGGCGATGAAATATAGAATAGTTTGTACAGTATAAAAACCATTACACCTAGAGTCCCCACAAGGAAAGCAAAGCAGACATAGCAGGCTTTCATAAGGGTTTCAAATCCACATTCAACAGTAACTCCTGTGTCACAATCTTCAGTTTGACGTCTAACCCTACAGTTTTAGATCACGTTGCATTCAGGGTTTGTAGCTATTATAATACTCATAATAGCAGGCCAGTCATCCGGTGAGTAACAGTCTGCATCCACAGGTTGCCATTCGCAGTCAATATCACGCTATGAACTGGCAGCATGGCTGTCATTTTGCATAATATTGTATCACAAATGTGCAAACTGCTCTCAGACCAACAGTTATAATCAGCTAATGGCTCAAACTCCCTGCATTTGAAGGTCAGCGCATCTATTAGCATACTATTATTTCTGAACTCCACCATTTAAGAAATGCCATAATTGGAGCATTACATGAATATGTTCAAAATAGCATACTAGCATACTCTTACTGTTTCTGCATGTCTGTCATACTGTGCACAGTATGTAAAACAGAGCACACTGTGAGAATACTGCATCCCACAATGCAATGTGCTCAGCTTGCCGTTGTATTTCCAGTGATAAATGAACCCCATCATGATTTTTAAGGTGGCTGGCTCATAATACTAGCATACAGCACAATAAATACTGTATACTGCTTACTATTCTTATAATAAATATTAATTATTATTAATTTTATATAATATGCTGAAATATTATTTGCATTTGCGATCCAAAACAAATGGTTCAAGAAGATAATAATTAATAATGTCGATGAACTGGTGAAATGTATTAATAATTAGTAATAAATTATATTAATGAATTATTATTATTATTATTATTATTATTATTATTATTTCATGCTTATATATAGCCTAGGCTATTTATCCATATATTAATTTTAATATCTTCTTGGCACATTTGTTCAGATTGCAAAGAGTAAATATTAATGAATTTTATTTCATATATTAATATTAATGAATATATTAATAATTAGTTAACAAAAATTAATATAAATTAATAATATTAATTCATCCATATAAACACACACACACACAAGACTGAAAAAAACGAATGATATGATATATGTGATTTTAATAATTCATGTTCATTATAATAATTAATAATATTGTTAATAATTAAAATAGTATTATAATTAATAAAGCATTATTATAATCTTGTTGACTTGATCAGACTGTATGCAAAAAATGTAAATAAGTCAAGTTTAATATTAAATATTAAACATTTTATTATGAATTATTATTTATAAACACGAATTATAGAAAATATAATTCATTATAATTCATATTTAGATATTTAACAATTATGTACACACATATAGTTGAGACATTTGATCAGATTGCAAAAAGTGGATTACAAATATTCAAATTATATTTTATAAGATATAATTTATTAATAGTTAATATTTGTTGTAGCAATTAAATATTAATACTAGCCTATATAATATTAAGTTTTGTTATTTAATCATTAATTCTTATAATAAATATAATTTATTATTAATTATGATTTGTATTTGTTATTGTATTTTTGCAGTTTCATGTGAGTTTACACAAATTCGTATGAAAAATTATGCTCAAAATATTTATTTTCGAGATCATAACAGGACTCCAGTCGCTGAAGAATACGTGACGTAGTGATATCATCGGCGAAATATTTATTTTATTTATTTATTTAAATATGAATATATAAATATTATAAACATGCTTATTGTTACATACGGTTTGACATATTATTTTCTCACACACAGTATGCAGTGCATAGATATGTATACACCTTTTTCACATTTCCGGCTTTCTCAGCAGCAGAAGTCGTCATAGTTGGGTAAACTTGAAACTTAAACTACCACACATATATTTTTTGCATTCCCATTTGCTCAAATAGCAAAATAAACACTCCATGATAGTGTTTTCACGACTTTCAAAAAGAAAAAAGGAAAAAAATTGAGACAGAACGGCAGTCAGTAGAGAGAACGATGTCAAATTTACCGTCACTCCCATAGACGCGTCAACTATTTATTTATTTATTTTATTTTTTGTAATTGATGTAAAATTAATATAATACAAAGTATAGTATTATAAATGTATATACATTTTTTTTTTAAATGAAGATACAAAAAACTTTGGAGGATTTACGATGCTGATGACCGTTGAAATGCGTCATCAAGCGCAGGGAAGTGATTGGCGTCATAATGATGATTGACGCCCGTCTAAGCCAATCATCGTTTGCTGTGCCGTCACTGCGACCAATGGACTGTGAGCAGCGCTTCAATGGGCGGATTTGATTCTGTCCCGTGAATACTCAATACGCACCGAGAGACGAGTGAAGAAACCTATTATAAATGTATATACATTTTTTTTTAAATGAAGATACAAAAAACTTTGGAGGATTTACGATGCTGATGACCGTTGAAATGCGTCATCAAGCGCAGGGAAGTGATTGGCGTCATAATGATGATTGACGCCCGTCTAAGCCAATCATCGTTTGCTGTGCCGTCACTGCGACCAATGGACTGTGAGCAGCGCTTCAATGGGCGGATTTGATTCTGTCCCGTGAATACTCAATACGCACCGAGAGACGAGTGAAGAAACCGGCACGGCTGTCTAAAAGAGTGACATTCACATAACCTACGGTGTAATATTACTAGCGTTATTGTCGGAAATCATTCTGTTCAGCCTGTCGAGTTTGAAATGTTACAGTTTAGGTTCTCGAGGGCGTTAAAGGAGTTTTGCAAGCCCAGTCTAAGGCGCCTTTGGAAAAATAATACAGATAATACAGCAGCCGCCGGAGGATGCGCGTCTTCATACAGACGATCCCTGTGCATGCAGACAGATGCGGCCAACGAGAAGTGAGTAGAGCTGAAAACCTGCTTGATAGAGGGGGTGTTGATAGAACATCTCCATTATTGATAGCAGGTTTGGTTTCACTTTAAAATTGGGTGGATTTCATTCATCCATTCATATGGGGGCCCCACATTCCCTACACATGATTCCTAGGCCTAGTTCACGATGATAGATGTGGGGATTTTTCTGGTATATTTATAGCTTTAGATATTTTAGATGAACTATAATGTGGTCTAGAAGTTTAGGACTTTAGGTTTAGGTTTAGGAGTGCACAAAGAGAAAGAGCTTGTACAATGGATGGGGGGGCCAAATTCCCAGAGGCGTCTCTGATGTCCTCTGTGAATAATCGGAAAGGTTGGGCTTTTAAGGGTGGGTTTTGATACATTTGAAGCATTTTTTAACATTGAAACAATGCATTTCTTGGTATGAATCAGGATAATGGACCTTTGGAATGTTCTAGAATCTTTCAGATATTTCTAACCAACATATTTGAGAGGAGACCAAATGTTAAGAATCGGTAATTGATCAATCTGTATTGACTATTCTATTTTTAAAATAGTCTTTATTTGCATAAATTAATGGTAGACTAATTAAAATCAGCTGATGATGTCAATCCTTGTCTAATTCTAAAATCAAGCTGACAGCTTTAAGAAATTCTATATTTTTAAATATTTTTATTAAATTGTAAAATATGTTTAATTAAAGGGTTTTTCCTGTTATAATTATTGTATATTTTAATATTTAAAATTGTTGTCCTATCAAACCATACATCGATGGAAAGCTAGTAGCACACAGGACATACGATTTGCAATTGATTTTAGGAAAGTTTGTTGTTAGCCTTGTTGCTATGCTAACGTTAATATTAAAAAAAGCACACAAGAGATACGATTTGCAATTGATTTCAGTAGAGTTGCTGTTAGCATGTTGTTAACCTAACATTAATACTCAAAAAAAGCAAGTAGCACAGGAGATATGATTTGAAATTTATTTTAGGAGATTTTGCTGTTAGCATGTTGCTAAGCTAACATTGTAATACGCAAATAAGGAAGTAGCGCACAGAGGAATTTGATTTACAACTGATTTCAGTAGTTGCTGTTAGCATGTTGCTAAGCTAACATTAATACTCGAAGCAAGTAACACAGGAGACATGATTTGCAATTGATTTTAGGAAAGTTTACTGTTAGCATGTTGCTAAGCTAACAACATAAAACTCAAGTGAGCAAATCGCACACAGGAGATTTAATTCACAATTGCTTTCAGTAGTTTGCATTTAGCATGTTGGTAAGCTAACAGTAATACATTAAGCATTAAAATATGTAAATATTAAGTAAAATAGTTTGTTTTAATTAGATTAAACAATTTTTTAGAATAACTAAAAGTACTGTATTGAAATATTAGTATATTATGGATATCATCCACCATCTTGAATGGATTTTTCCACTGAGCAGTGCATTCTGGGATTGGCATTTCCACATAAAATTAAGCCAAATTAAGTAGGGCTGCACGATAAATCGCATGCGATATTTAACGCGCATCTTGTCAGTAAAGCCGGTTCTTTAATCAGCGGTAAATCTCCATCACCTGCGGGCTTTCACATGGAGCAGCATTAACTACACAGAGCCGTTGTTCACTGACAAGCTGCGCAAAACCACGATCATATTTTGCGCATGTTTTGCGCAGCTTGTCGGTGAACAACGGCTCTGTGTAAGGTTATACCCTTTTTGTGGTAAGTCTGCACAAGATCAGAACGCTTGTTTGGTATGTTTGCGGCCCCTTTAAATAAAGACCGATCGTGGAGCGTCTACAGGGCAGCCAGAGCGAATTTTGACGCTCTCGCCGCCGGTGGTCAGCGTTGTGGGTAGCGCGGCCAGAGCGATCTTTTGACGCTCTCGCCACCGGCGGTGTGAAGGTAGCATGATTATTGTTTCCTTTACAACAGTGGTTCTCAACAGTAGAACAGTTATTTTTTAACAAGTTACGAAAATAACAATAAAATGGTGACAGACATTAAGCCTGAAAACAACTCATCTGACCGCAGATACTGAAGCGCATTTTTCTCTGGCACACTTTTCTTAAAACTGCATCTGACAGAAGTGTCAACAGCTTTCACGCACGTCTTTCAAAATAAAAGTCTCTCATCAGAAAAACATTTAGAATTAGGCCTACGTTATTGTTGTAGATGTTGTTTCTTCATCTGCACACTCTGTGACCCTCTCAGAGCGGTCTTGCGACCCACCAGTTGAGAAACACTGCTTTAGAACAGTCTTTTCAGAATCACACATATGATGCCTAAAATGTTGCCTATGTAGTCGGCACACTAGGATTTGGAACACACCTTAGTAGTTATCATTAGAGATTGGCATAAACTGGTTGTCACTGGCAACCTCACATTCAGCCAGATGCTGAATTAATTCTGTGAAGCCAGCCCTTCTTTTTTTAGCCCAGCTGATTGGTTCATTGATTGAACACACCAATAGTTCATTTGTGAACCCGATATTCTTTTAATCTCTTTCTCTACACATCAAACTTTCGCTTTCATTGTGTTCATAAGCATCATATAATGCTCTCAGGCATGTTAGCAGGGCCTCGATCTTATTCTCTACTCTGTAATGCGTGGGTGTCAGGTTTCTGTCCTGAGGGAGTTTACCCAGCATGTGGCCTCTTGATAGCTTCATTTTTACACCAGACAAAGCGTGTTTATTCAAATGTATTTGCACCAGATAATTGGTGTTATGACTTTGATTTTTCACCTGGCAGACGATAAACAGGGCGAAAAAATCCCATGTTTACATTTAATCTCCAGAACACTATAGCAACCACATAGCAACACACTGGCAACCAATCAGAGCAGCCTAGCATTATATGGGTAAATTTTTTTTTCTTTAAAGGGGTCATATGATGTTGCTAAAAAAAACATTATTTTGTGTATTTGGTGTAATGAAATGTGCCGGGCTTTAGTGAGCGGAGGCCGGCAGCCTTGAGAACGGCGCGGCCGGCGGATTCAACGAAGGAGTGGCCGGCAGGCGTGATTTTAGGAGGGCGTGGACAAGTCTTAACTTGTATAAAGAATATCTCTTTGGATTTGAGACTTTAGTCTTTGCAACTTTACAGATCTTCTTTATGCACCAAGAGCTTGTAACACTCCAAAGAGAAAGGAAAAATTGAAATCGCATCATATGACCCCTTTAAATGTTGATTACCGATCAATTTTGAATCCCAAATTTCAAATAAACTCAAGCATTGAAATATTATCCAATATTATAGCATTTATTGTTGCACTGCAAAAAATTGCAAACGAAATCTAGTCATATCTAAAGGAATCAGCAAAATTGGGAGTTTCGCTTGGTGTAAATGTTTCTACAATTTTGGCCGAAAATTTTCGCCAAAAGTTCACTAATTCTGCTGCACTTACAAACCTAGCTTACAAAAAGAGTTAAAAAAATCACATTCTGAAGGCCCTTTCACACCAATCACAAACTGTAATGATAACTAAAATTATAAAGTTTTAATAATCGCTGTAATTTTATTGGAATACGGAGGTCAATTATAACAATAATGGCGCAGAGAAACAATATCGTTAGAATCACTTTCAGAATGATTCTTTCTTGCTGATGAACAATAAAAACTTTGACAGCCAATCAGAATCCACCCAACTCGCACATTTAAAGTGGCAGATGACAAATCTGCAGTGCGAGATTATAATAAAAAGAACATTATCGTCGTTTAGTGTGGGCGCTAATGTAATCATCGTAATCATTATATTTATATCAGTTATAATCGTTATATCAGTTTCCAATTGATCATTTAAAAATATGCCTTTTTAGATATCAGTAATTCGAACCATATATTGTGCATATGCCATTTTCATACTCAAAGATTTATACTAAAATAAATGCTAATTTTACTTAGTTAAGTGGTTTTTGTTGGTCTCAACGCAAACCCTGTGAACACTAAAGGGAGTGTAAAATGAATCACCTCATACTCTCTGACATCCGAGGTTTATCTAACATGACGGCACCAGCTGACACATGAGTCAGTGTGTGTGTGTGTGTCACGCTGGCATCTCTGCATGCATTGCTGCAGTGAAATTGTGCCAGTTTGTGCCCACCATCTTGAGCCAAACGAATCCTGCGAACAGTGAATGGAAATAGTCATTTCACATTTTGTGTTTTTTTTTTTGTGTGTATAGTGGGATATTCGATTAGAAAACCATGGTAATACCATACCACGGTATTTTTCAGTTTGTGGCAGCTGGTTCATTTTCTGGTGTTTTATTCGCTGCAGGCCAGAATATGTTGCAGTGGATCTATAAGCATGCGATTCTATGTGAATATCAGCTGTTTTGCTGGTTGTTTGACCAATTCTCGTTGAAGTGGAAGAAGATAATGAAGATATTGTTACAGAATCATTTCACGTGTTCACACACACACACACACACACACACACAGCTGTCCCCGCAAGGACGTTTTGACATGGTTTACAATTCTTCTGGAGGCATTTTCAGACATTTCCCCACATAAACATAAAACCTTCTCTTACAAATACACAAATATTACACACATAGCCGATGTCTCTTTCTCTCATTTTTTACCTGCCACACAGACACACTCTTTTTAAAATATTCACATTGTACTTGAATATGGTAATCATTCAGTACCGTGGTACCACCACAGTACTTTTTATAAGGGTCTGTACGTTGTTTACAAGTAGATTAGCAAAAAAGAAAAAAAAAAAACTTATAAGAGGTAGACGTATTATGTTTTGAAAAATGGTGACACTTTAAAATAGAAGTATAGTTGTTTATACATTTCAGAAGCAATCCAGTGGGGATGCTAATCAACTTTTCTCATCTCACGTAACCAGTGTTGGGAAGGTTACTTTGGAAATGTAATAGGTTACAGATTACAAGTTACCCTATTTAAAATGTAATAAGTAGTGTAACTTTTCAATTACTTTATTAAAGTAATGTAACTTATTACATTTGATTACTTTTTGATTACTTTTCTAAATTTCTAATATTTTTAACTGTTAATCATTTTGAAACAATTAAACCAGGCAAGGTTAACCTTACAGTAATGCTCAACACTGATTACTGTCCGACTTTCAAAATCCTTCATCACTTGAATTAAGATTATAATAAGTAAGGGATAATGTACATCTTTATTTTGCGATAACAACTGGCTGGATATTATCCTGCTTATTACATGGCTGCTTGCCACAAAAGTAAATAATTAGACACGAAACGCTGATCTGAGTTGAAATATTTGAATGCAAAGCTTCCATGAAGAAAGCAGTTGCTAGCAAGCGGCAAGTTCAAACTAGATGGACATTTAAGGGATACGGTGCAGTCAAACCACTTTTATCACACTTTTCACAACATAAATAATGAAGTATTTATATTAATAATGAAGTATTATTATATTAAGTATAATTAAGTATACTTACAGTACTAGTTTGTTAGTTATCTTATAATCCATTACAGTGTACAAAACAAAATGGCAGCAGCTGCGTTTGTATGAAACGAGAGAGCGAGTCCACAATACCAGGATGACAGAATTAAGAAATTATACACATAATATTGAATTGAGTTTTAATATTTTATTAGCTAACAAAACGCAAAGCTTCCACCAAGAAAAACTGTTCCTAGCAAGTGTATACCGCCGACTTAAGTTACCCGGATGAGTCTGTGTTATTCGCTTTTACCAGTTGTTATTGGGGCTGTAATTTAATTACTATTTTTTTCTCAGTAACTGTAACTAATTACAATTACATTTATTTTGTAATTAAATTACGTAATTCCGTTACATGTAACTAGTTACTCCCCAACACTGCACGTAACTCATCCCATCATTAAAGCAAATAAACAGTGTGTTTATTTAGCTGTGTCGTCAAGTGGATTATTTCCAGTGTGTTTGTGTGTAAAAATAGCGGCATCAGAGAGTACGTTTGGCGTGGTGCATTAGCGAGGATCAGAACTGAGACCTTGCAAGGAAGTGAAGGCTTATCTCGCCTTTGGGACGGGAGGGGTGGCTGCTCTCGTCAGGTTACGTGTCCTAGTTTAATGCCTTGCCAGGTCATCGGAGCGCTGGCTGTGTTTGTACACAATAGTGTATGTCTGATAGCTTTTTATCAATAGTCTGGACCAGTGTTGGGGTAACGCATTACAAGTTACGTAATCAGATAACTTTTTTCAAGTAACTAGTAAAGTAACGCATTACTTTTAAATTTAGAACAATATACAACAATATTCACTGACATGCCCGTCCCTGTGTTAAGAGAAATGGGGAGTGAGGCTGAGGCTTATTCATTTCACTTTTGGTGTGAAAGGGCCTTTACAATTGCCAAATATATTACCTTTGGTTTTTTGTTATTAAAAACAAATAAGCAAGCCCAGCCCAGGTGACAAAAAAGTAATGCAAAAGTAACGTAATGCATTACTGTCCATAAAAAGTAACTGAGTAATGCAATTAGTTACTTTTTATGGAGTAACTCCATATTGTAATGTATTACTTTTAAAAGTTTTAAATATGCTTGCGATCCTCAGACAGTATTACTCTGTCATATCCAAGATCAAGATTGAAGTTGAGAGATGTTTGCAGTGTCCGGTCCTAGCCTAAGCTATGGAACAGTCTTCCCTTATCTGTGAGATCTGTGTCTTCCGTATGTGATTTTAAATCTAAGTTACAGTCTCATCTTTCGTTGTGTTTAATTGTGGATTATAAAGAAATTAAATGAAATGAAAAGTAACTTTCCCCAGCACTGGTCTGGACTGTAGGCTGAAATCTCCAAAACCGATTTATCAACCAAAATTTTAATGTTTTGAGATTTATTTCCCCTCTGTGTCATTTCCAAAAGCTATAAACAATAGTATAATTAGTAGTATAATTAAAATAATTTTTGTTTTAATTTTATTTGCGCTTTGTGGGTCTGTCATTAACTAACCTAGTATCTCTATTTTAATTAAATCAGAGGTCAGTTTGTTTTTAGAAACTGCATAAATAATACATATGCATTCCTATGTGTTTATTTATTTTTCCAGTGTTTTATATGTCTGGATGTCTCATTCATTTCTGTTTTTTCTTTCTCTCTCTCTCTCTCTCTCTCTCTCTTTTGGTTGTCTGCATACTTTGCATTTGTTGTGTAAGTATCTGGTTCATTTTATTTGGTGTTTTTTTTTTTTCCAGTTATTTCTTACAAAACGCTATGCTTGGTTTTCCCCGCTGAAGAACATTCCCATTCTGTGTTGTGTTCTATAACCATATGTATCATCCTGAAATGACATCACAAAGGTCTTGAGCCGCTATTGGTGGCCATTGTTTCAACCCACAATGTATTTAGAACAGTATTTTTCCACCAACGTAAATAATGTCCAGACACTCTTAAGTTAATTTCTGGATGGTTTGTGGTCAGACTGTAAACCAGAGTGCTTTCAAAGCCTGTATTGTGTAGCTGTCCCAGAATGCAATCCATTGGAACTTCTGAATCTACTGTAGGAAGTCCTTGGACGTGTTATTCCCAAATGCTTTACTTAGCTCCTGCTTAACATGTTAACTTTCGCAAACCTGAATAATGTTAAATAACCACCTTTTCTAACAGACTAACCTTTTTTCTGAGAAAAAAAATGGGTTTCAGATGATCTCACAATGTCAGTCAGGGGTAAAAGCATTTTCCCTTCACTCTTCCCATAAGCAGATATGCTTATGTTGATGTGATCTAGCTAACTAACAGTTAATCACTTTAACTCAATTCTAAATACCTTGTGTAGCAAGATTCTCCTCAAACTGTTGATCTTCCTTGACAGTTTAAAAAATAGAGAAAACTGACCAAGAAGAAGACGCTAATGGCACCCCTAATGGCAGACTTTGAGAATGCGACTTTTTACTTGCATAGAGTATATTTTGGGTCTGACATTTTTGAAAATGACAAAGATGAAATTGGTTTAATTCAAAAACAACTTTGTTATCCAATCTGAAACCTACTGACTGGCATTTTGAGAGTAATAATTCTGAAACTAAAATGACATGGAATTTCAGTACGACATCTCCTGCTGCTGATAAACCCTTTTTGTTGAGTATACCGTCTATTTTAGTTTTCTGTCTGCTTACTGGATTCTCTGTGTATCTGTTCACATCACAGGAGAAGGAAGGCAGGCATTTTGCCCAGCCTGGAAGATCTGCTGTTTTACACCATTGCAGATGGCCAGGAGAAAATTCCAGCTCACAAATTTACCACGGTAAAACCAAACACCAGCTGGCCAAGAAGAGCAAGGCCATCGCTACCGTATCTCTTATAACACATATCTTGGTTTATAGACCAAATAGTTGTGTCAGTTTTCAAGTTCATTGGGTTTTAAACAAAACACAAGATTTGTTGTAAATTTAGGCTAAATGTTGTTGTTTTTCAGGCTCTGAAAGCCACAGGTCTGCGTACTGGAGACCCTCGTCTTAAGGAGTGTATGGAGATGTTAAAAGTCACCCTGAAGACCACATCAGATGGTGCTCTGGATCGACATCTCTTCAAAAAGTAAATAAATGGGCAATATTAAACTTAACCCTGTTTGCTTAAAGGATGAAATGACAACTGACTTAGTTTTTTGTTTAATAAGAATATATTGGCTGTAGTGTTGTTGTTTTTTTCTAGTTCCTGGATGATTTTTGAGCATCCATTTAACATATTTAGCCTTCAAACATGAAGTTGCTGCAGTCAGTGTACTATTGAGATGGCTGAAACCCGTCGCCGTTACTTAAAGGGTTAGTTCACCCAAAAATGAAAATTCTGTCATTAATTACTCACCCTCATGTCGTTTCAAACCCTTAAGACCTTCGTTCATCTTCGGAACACAAATTAAGATATTTTTGATGGAATCTGAGAGCTGTCTGACCCTCCCATAGACAGCAACGCAACTGAAATGTTCCCAAGTCCAGAAATGTAGCAAGGAGATCGGTAAAATAATCCATGTGACATCAGTGGTTCAACTGCAATTATACGAAGCTACGAGAATACTTTTTGTGCGCAAAAAAAAAAAAAAACAACAACTTTATTCAACAATTCGTCTCCTCCGCATCACCCTGTATACAGCGTATGCTGTTCTGTCAGCTGCGTCACGCCGGATCTGTTTCCTACGTAGTTGTGATTTGATCTGAACGGAAACAGCGTATCCGTGTGACGGATGTAAGCATGAGCATTCATAGATCAGCCATTTTCCAAGGACACATCAAATCAGGGGTCACTGAGTTTGTAAAGGCCTGTTATAGTCCTGCAGTATATTAATTATTTAGTTTCACTCAGAAAATAGAGAAAAATGGCTTAAGGCCTGAACATAGCATCATATCAGGTTTATTATTATTGTTTCTAAAACTAAAACCATTAAAAATATATATATTTTGGTTAACTGAAAATTTTTTTAGTTTAATTTTAAATACTAAAATAACTAAAACTACATCAACTACTTATTTAAAACGTAAAAATACAAATGATAAACACAACAAAATTACTAAAACTTACAGTGAAAATGGAAAATCTAAAAATAAAATCCAATTAAAAAACAATAACTATAATAGTAGATTAAGTAATACTAAAACAACACTGCATCATACAGGGTTTTTTTGGGGGGATTTTATTATTTTTATTATTTTTTTGAGTGATATTGTAGTTGTCAGTGACGATATTGTATTCAGTATTTAATCTTTTTTTTTTTTATGTAAGTGTTCATGTTTGTTTGGATTTGGATGAACATACTGATGCTAATAAAGATAAATCATAATCTTCACTTTTCTCTTCCTACAGGTGTGTGCAAAGCAACATTGTGTTGCTAACGCAGGCATTCCGGAAAAAGTTTGTCATTCCTGACTTTCAGTCATTCACCTCTCACATCGATCAAATTTATGAGAGTGCTAAATCACTGTCGGGTGGCCAGGTACAGTTATAAGATAAAATAATCCAACACAGTGTGAATCTCTGATACTATTCGTTTTTTACAGATTATTTTACATTCTGTTTTGTCACATTTTTATTGTATTAGGTGGCAGATTACATTCCTCAGCTAGCTAAATTTAGCCCTAATCTCTGGGGCGTTGCCCTGTGCACTGTAGATGGCCAACGGTGAGATTTCTGTCTTTAGTACAATTGCTACATTGTTTTGATTTCGCTTCATTTTTGTTGATATTTTCTAGTAAACATAATTTGATTTCTCAAACATTTATGCCGAGCTCTGTTGAAAATCTAAACTGGATGTTTTGTGTGTTACAGGTACACGGCGGGTGACACGAAAGTTCCATTTTGTCTGCAATCGTGCGTGAAACCATTAAAATACGCAGTTGCTGTTCACGATCACGGCACTGAATACGTGCACCGATTTATAGGGAAGGAACCCAGCGGTCTGCGTTTCAACAAACTCTTTCTTAACGAAGATGGTAATTTCATAATGCAAAAACTAAAAAAAGGAATAGTTCACCCAAAAATGAAAATTTGCTAAAAAAAAAAAAATGTACTCACTCTTAGGCCACCCAAGATGTAGATGAGTTTGTTTTGTTCACCTGAACAGGTTTGGAGAAATGGATCCTCTGCAGTGAATGGGTGCCGTCAGAATGAGTCCAAACAGCTGATAAAAACGTCACAATAATCCACAAGTAATCCACTCCAGTCCATCAGTTAACATCTAGTGAATTGAAAATCTGCCTGTTTGTAATAAACAAATCCATCGTTAAGGTTTTTGTTTTATTTTATTAAACTGGTGCATGAGGCCAAAATACCCATAATCCATAATACTGCTTCCTCCAGTGAAAAAGTCCATCTCCTGTTGTCCTCTCACATCAAAATCCACCAACATATTTGTTTAGAACTCTTTTGGACTGTTTTCGCTTGTAAACGGTGCTTGATCTGTGCAGATTTCTTTCCTGATTCACTGGAAAAAGCAATATTATTAATAGAGAACTCATATTGTAGCCAAAAGCAAAGGTTAAAATTAAAAAACTCTTAATGATGGATTTGTTTCTTATAAACACACAGCTTTTGGTTTCACAAGATGTTAATTGATGGACTGAAGTGGTGTGGATTGTTTGTGGATTAATGTAATGTTTTTATCAGCTGTTTGGACTCTCATTCTGACGGCACCCATTCACTGCAGAGGATCCATTGATGAGCAAGTGATGCAATGCTAAATTTATCCAAACCTGTTCCAATGAAAAAACAAACTCGTCTACATCTTGGATGGCCTGAGGGTGAGTACATTTCCAGAACACTTTCATTTTTGGGTGAACTGTTCCTTTAATGTTTCCAAAAACAAGCTTCATATGCTCACAGTCATCTTTGTTTATTGATTCATTCATCTATTTTTTCAGATAAACCTCATAATCCCATGGTAAACGCTGGCGCCATAGTTTGCACTTCTCTCCTCAAGGTAAACCACATTCTCATCTTTACATCCTTTTTTGATAAAATGGGGGCCCAAAACTGCTATAGCTGTGCTTCTTTAAGAGAATTCCTGTGTTTTTCCTAATTTGATAACCTAAAAGTGCCTTGCCAAATGTTTAGCTTGATGTGTTTGTGGATGTTTGACATGAGAACGGATCAGAGGGACGAATGGATTTAATCTGATTACTTTCCCTCTCTCATCAGATTAAGGTTATGAATAATCACGCTGAAAGGATTATATTGAAGAGAGAAACGGAAGTGGGATGGGGGAAGATAAGGGAAAAAGAGCAAACCGATGCGAGAAAGAACGAATTTGAAAGAGCAATGTGATTGAAGAATGACCACTTTAGAAACAAAACGAGAGATGAGAGGAAGACAAAGTACGCTATATAAATATCAAATGTTTTTATTCTTCTGAGAGCAGTCAGAATGTCATTTTGAAAATAGTCACAATCTGTAGTTAGCATCCTTGCTAAAACCTCCATTAGAAAAGCAGGGCTTTGTTGACCTGTTAACACTATTATAAACAATATTGCAAACATGTACAAGTATGTGTTTATAACAAGCTAACTTTTTTAGTAATTGATGAATTTGTGATGACAGTTTGTGGTGTTAAAGGTAAATCCTCTGCATGATACGCATCTTTCTCAGGCCTGTCGAGGTGGTAATATGTGATGTCTGTGTGAAGGCTTTTTGTGGTTTTATTGTTGTTGCGTATTTTACAGCATTAGGAACTGTGGGAAATTTTGACCCTCCAACAGGTCAATGACGTTGGTAATTTCCCTTTCATTTATTTGTTTTTCCTCATTGAACAAATTTCAAACCAAGCTAACGCTAAGCTACATTAGCGCAAGTCTGACAAATGCATTGCTTTGACAGAAAATCTAATGTAATTTTGTTTAATTACTTCAGAATAGCTTTATTTTTGTTTAAATTTTTTGTCTTTTTAACTTAAAAATTCAAGTATTTAGTAAGATACAGTACTATTTTTTGTGTGTAAATAAACATTTCTTCAATGTGGAAAAAAATGATTTTAGAGCCTCAAATCAATGCATTACATGAGTTTCTTTAGAACTCTACTAAAACATACTTACAGACAGCACACAGTTCAAATTACTTGACAATTTAGTGTTTTTTAAACTTTTAGTTTTGTCAGATTTTTCCACACCCCTTTAACAACTTACATTTGTGATTCCACAGCAATAATAGTACTTACTTGGACACAAACACTGTTTGCCTTTATTTCTTTCAATGATGTTACTCAAATCTAGTGAGCTAGAATCCTTTATTTTTTCCATTCTTCATTTGAAATGCTTCTCAAGCTGTAGAGATTTTTTTTACTTCAACTGTCAATCTAATTTATAGAATCTCAGTCTATAATGGCTATGTATAAATATTGTGTTAGTTTAATAATGTTTCCTTTAACCGGAATGGCTATGCATTAAGAAGTTTGTGTGTAACTCTACAAAACAATTTGTTTCAATGATATAACACATTCATGCAGTTTCTTTTTGACTTTCAGCAAAGCGTAAGCAACGCTGAGAAGTTTGACTATGTAAGTATAATAGTACAGTATAACTCTTTTTAGATTTTTACTGTTTATCATTTTGAGAGCTGCTGTGTTTAAGGAAGTGTTTTGTTTTAGGTGATGAACTTTATGAAGAACTTGGCAGGAAATGAATATGTTGGTTTTAGCAATGCTACGTAAGTGTTTTTTGATGCTGATAGCAGTGAAATTTAATTATTCTCAATATCAGATATTTCTCAATTAAGTAAATATTTAAGTAAACTGTCAATTATATTATAAACAACATACAGTAGAAACAAATAGCAAACAATAGAGTACAAATATCTAACAGTAGTATTCAAATGAACATTTCAAAATTGAAAATACAAAAGTAATCAAATGTTAAATAAAACTATCAATATCAAAACACAATCAACTGAAAACATTTATTTTCGAAGTTGTGAATAAAGCAGATTATTGAAGTGCATTAAAAAAATTCACATTTAAGTTTGTTGCTTGCCATTTCTTTGTAATTGTTTATGAAATTTACCAGTAGTATCTGTGAAAATTGAAGAAAGTTGTTTTATTGTCATTTAAAATTAAAGTTCTTTCTGTAAGTACTTTCTTGTTGTTGGTAGGTTTCAGTCAGAGCGACTGTCAGGTGACAGAAACTTTGCCATTGGTTACTACTTGAAGGAAAAGAAGGTATGCGTTTAAACATTTTATAGCAATCAGGGACCATTGACAATTCACTAAAAACATTAGTTTTTATTTTTTCCCCCCCATTCTTCCAGTGTTTCCCAGAGGGTACAGATATGATCTCCATCCTGGACCTTTACTTCCAGGTTAGTAGAAGTTAAACAGCCTTTTTTGCACACAATTTTTCAATTTGGAAATGAATGTTGAATATGTGCATAGACATGTAGGCTTCCAACAATTAAGAAATGTATTATTAAATTTTTTTTATAGTAACAAATACAGAAAAAATATGCTGGTTAAAGTATGGTTACTGTTTTGAAATTTTACTGAATAGTCAAACTTAAAGAAAGTTAAAAAGATTCCACATTTAACTTGTTACTTATTTTCCGCATTAACACATTACTACATTAAATTGATTTTGTAGGATTTTGTAAGTATTTTACACCATTTTTTTCAATAGTTACAACAAAGAATGAAAGGAATAGTTCACCAAAAAATGTAAATTAGAATTGAAAATGTACTCGCCCTCAGGCCATCCAAGTTTTTTTTTTTTTTTTTCATCTGAACAGATTTGAAGAAGTTTAGAATTCCATCACTTGCTCACCAATGGATCCTCTGCAGTGAATGGGTGCCGTCAGAATGAGAGTCTGAACAGCTGATAAAAACATCACAATAATACACACCACTCCAGTCCATCAATTAGATTAAAAGTTGCATGTTTGTAATAAACTAATCCATCATTAAGACATTTGTAACTTCAAACCATTGCTTCCAGCTAAAATACGAGTCCTCTATCCTTAATATTGCTTCTTCCAGTGAAATAGTCGTCTCGTCTGAATCGGGAGAGAAATTTGCACAGATCAAGCACCGTTTACAAGTGAAAACAATCCAAAACAGTTGTAAGCAATTATGTTGGTGGATTTTGAGGTGAGAGGACAACAGGGGATGGACTTTTTCACTGGAGGAATGACTGGTAGTTTAGCTGGAAGCAATGGTTTGAAGTTAAAACCTCTTAATGATGGATTGGTTTGTTACAAACATGCAGCTTTTTGCTTCAAGATGTTAATTGATGGACTGGAGTGGTGTGGATTATTGTTTTTATCAGCTGTTTGGACTCTCATTCTTACGGCACCCATTCACTGCAGAGGATCCATAGGAGCAAATGATCCAAGATCTACATCTCGGGTGGCCTGAGGGTATTTAAGCATTCTGTGCTATTATATGTATTTATTTATTTCAATTAAATATTTAGATGCAGTATGCAAATGTTAATATTTAAATATCAGAAAATATATGATTTAAATGTTTTTGTTTTGTTTCTTTAGCTGTGCTCCATTGAGGTAACCTGCGAAAGTGCCAGTGTGATGGCAGCTACCCTGGCGAACGGCGGCTTCTGTCCAATCACGGGCGAGCGTGTGCTGAACCCCGAGGCTGTACGAGATACTCTGAGTCTCATGCACTCCTGCGGCATGTACGACTTCTCTGGACAGTTCGCTTTCCATGTGAGTTTCACATGTACACACCTGGGGAAATGTCTGATGGTTTTATGTTCAATGTAAGAAAAACACGTTCACAGTCTGCAACAAACTCAGGTTGTGTGTTGTACTGTAGGTTGGTCTCCCGGCTAAATCAGGTGTTTCTGGAGGCATCCTGCTGGTGGTCCCCAATGTGATGGGCATTATGTGTTGGTCTCCTCCTCTTGACAAATTGGGCAATAGTGTGCGAGGAATCCAGTTTTGCACGGTAATAAATCTATATAATCTCAGCTTATGTATTGTTACAATGGTGGCTTTCTTGCTCACATTGATTGAAGTCTTCTTTTTCTTTCAGGATCTGCTCCAGCTCTTTAATTTCCACAACTATGATAATTTACGGCATTTTGCCAAGAAACTGGATCCACGCCGAGAGGGCGGAGACCAGCGGGTGAGTGACAGATCCGACCTTCCAACCACAGAAATCATGCAACTGATGCAACTAGGGGTGGGCAATAACCATTCTAAATATTTGAATGTTGTTGTACAAAACAAATAATGATGCAGTTTATTATCTAATGCAATTCAATTTGTATTAAGCATGGCTTAAGCATCCATTAACTTTTTGGGGCCACTGTATATCCCACCTCTAGATGCAACTTATGCAAAGGATCCTGTTACTTTGACAATGAGAGTGTGCGCGTATGTTTTGATGTATGTGTTCTGACAAACCAAATAATGCTAACTATTCTGCAATGTTAAACTGTATTATTGAACATTTCACTTCTCTTAGCAAATGCATATTTCTTTTCCTCTTCATTGTCTGCCCTCTGCTGGAGGACCAGCATACTCTCTGCTTTTAAACTCCACTTCCATCCATGTGCCTCAATTTAGGATGCTAAATATTTTACTGCTTGACTTACATAAAATAATTAGTATAAAATAATTATGGACATTATGCCTCTTTACTTAAAAATAACACCTGATTAACTGGCTTGCTTAAGTTTCCACTGTTTCCCTGTTTTCTTCTTTCTCTGCCATCTATACTAATCCAAGCAGCAAATTCAATAATGAAATAATCTAATCTGATAATCTATCCGTGTCCGTATTGGTTGAACCGCAGCAACAGCAGCAGCAGAATCTTGAACCGCTGGACTATACAAGCCTTCAGAAGGAACTAGCGCTCACTGACAAAGTGTGGAAAAAGATCTGTCCTTCTGAAACGAGCGAGGACAGTTCTTCCACTGTAGTCTATAGGATGGAAAGCGTGGCGGAAAGAAACTAGAAGAGACAACAGCGCACACCCTTCCTTCCATGTTTTGTCAGCCCATCATCCAGTCATTTTCTTTGGTTCTTCAGTCTTTGGCATTAGAGAGGTTGTTTTGTTTTTGGTTTGGTTTGTTGTTTGTTTTGTTTTGTTTTGCTTTGTTTTAGTTGATTTTGTGTTTTGTTTTGCCTTTTTTTTAAAAATTTATTGGATTGTATTTTGTTTTGGTTTAGTTGATACAGTAATATTGTGATTCTTTGTTCATTGTATTTTGATTAAAAACTGTAAAAATTAAGACCGTCATATGTTTACTGTTTTCCCCCACCTTTCGTTAAAAAAAAAATTTATTGGATTGTATTTTGTTTTGGTTTAGTTGGTTTTGTTTTTTGTTTTGGTTGTTTTTGTTTTAGTTGGGATTGGTTTGTTTTGTTTTTTTGTTATTGTTTTGTTATTTATTTGTTTGTTTGTGGAGGTTTTGTAGTTTTTTGTCTGAAATGCACACTATAAAGCAAGCCAAAGACCTTTAAACCTTACGTGCAATTTTTTTATGTTACAATTAGGGGAATCAGTAAGGCCCAAACAATGCAATATGATATCAATATCTGGGTAATGATACAGTAATATTGTGATTCTTTGTTCATTGTATTTTGATTAAAAACTGTAAAAATTAAGACCGTCATATGTTTACTGTTTTCCCCCACCTTTCGTTAAAATACTTGTTCCTATACTTGTTTAATGTGATGAGATATCTGGCCTCTGAGAAGAGAAGTAAATTATTCATAGGCTACTGAACCAACCGAACACAGCAATGTTGAGTTTTGACTGAAAATTTCAGGAAACCTGTTTGAAAACAATAAGTACTTTTGCAGTTCTTTTTGTTTCTGCTAGCTGCTCAAAAATTACACATCTTTCCAAGAACATTTCTAAGAAAACTGATGCATAACCAACAAATACCTTCATAAGAACTATTCCTTACGTTTACAGTTTTGTTTTTTTTTGTACATAATTACATTCTGCTCTTTCGTTGACCCCCTTTTTTACCTAATGTGTCAATTTTTGTTTAAATGTTTAAACGAAATGTTTAAATGTGTCTAAATGTATTTTGAATGTAAGTTTTGGTGCAGGTTCTGTTAACTTATTTCAGGCAGTATTGGGGTTCAAGTGAAGAAATGCTTGTAAATGGATTTGAAAGAACTGTTTAATGTAGACAGTCAAAATCTGTGCCTGTATAAAGTGTGACTTTATAAATTCCAGTCCTTTGGGTTTAGTCTAGCAGCCACAATGTTTTATTGTGTGTAAATCATAAAAGGAAGGAGTTTAGACATTGTATAAGTACAAACCAAACAAGTGATTAACGCTAACCAGAGCGAAACTGGTCGACTGTGATCAGGTAAAGTAAAGATTGTGTGACTAGTGGTTCCACAATGCAAATTTAATCCTGTGCTCAAATCATCTACATCTGTAACCCAGTTTTCACTTGAATTAAATATTTACTGTAGGTATTTCGTTATACTGTCAGTTTAAGGACTCACTTATCATTTCTGACACTGTGCCAATCCATGAATGTACTTAAAAAGTACTGAATTAAAAGTTACTTCCCATTGAGAAATGTTTTACACTTGCTATCATTTAAACTGACTACTTGAACTTGATGTTTTATTTTATTTATAAGATATTCTTGCTTTCAAGTGACTGGCTTTATTTCAGTATTATCACTGAATTTATGAAATGTGACTTAATGTGAAAAATGTGCAACTTTTTAAAACCCATTTGTTTGTGCCAATAAGATTATCTCCTTTAAACTAGGTTGACTTGTTTTTATTTTGTCATGCGGTTTAATAAATGATTGATAAACACAAATTTTGTTTATCTCTATGTGTTTTTTGTTTCTTTATCCCTGTTTTGAAAACATTTAAACTGTTGTTTAAGTATGTGTTAGTTTTGTTTCACAAGTTGACTTTGGCAACGCTATGATTTCGTCCTGATGTTGTTAATGTACCACAAACGACTCCTCTGTTTTCTTCCAGGTCAAGTCGGTTATCAACCTGCTGTTTGCGGCCTACACAGGAGACGTGTCAGCTCTGAGAAGGTACCACACCACTAATAAGTCACTTTTTTTATTTTTGCATTTCTGAACACAATTTGCAATTTAAACCTTGAGTTTCTGCCTACTTCATGTATGTTTGCATTTTGCGCAGGTTTGCGCTATCGTCGATGGATATGGAGCAGAGAGATTACGACTCTCGGACGGCCCTTCATGTAGCTGCTGCTGAAGGTGGAGTGCCAGGAACTCCTCAAACTCTGCAACTGTTGATATTATCATGTGCTTCAACCCCCAGACTTCTGACTAGTTGTTTGTTTCCTCTGCCTGACCTCATTTTCTCTATGTGCTGAGTGGAAATCTTGCTAATGTGCCCTTTTGTGGGTTTCAGGTCACACTGAGGTTGTGCGTTTTCTCCTAGAGGCTTGTAAGGTGAACCCAGTGCCCAGAGACAGGTATGAATGTGAAATACTACAACACAGATCCTATTTTGTAACATTACTGTTAAAAACGCCTATATGTGAAAGGTAGGTCAAAAAATATAACAAGACTGTTGCAAAACTGCAATATTATGGTATGTTCTCAAAGTTGTATTCAAGAAATTGTCTCGGAGACCATCTTGATTTGTTTGTCAGCCATTTTGAATATATTTTCATACATATTTTCATATAGTTGAATGCATTTATGTGTCAATTCATTGTGCTTAACTATCCGTTAATTTATCAAATAGATAAATCACTATCAAAATAGAACAAATCTCAAATAGAACACTTTCTCCAGTTAAGAAAAACATATCAATAGTTGTGGATAGTATAATATTGTGAATGTAACACTATCACAGTGGTTACAGTTAATCATTTTTTATTAAATTAATTTTTTTACATTAATGCTGAAGTTTTATTAGTTTTATCAATTTAATTTATAATTCTATTATAATAAATTTTTTTACATTTATATAAAGTAAATATGTAAAAAATACTTTTAATCCAAAATTGCTATAAAATTAAAGCCATATGTCTAAATAAGTTATGTTCCAAATTTGAAGTTGATATAAAAAAAATTAGAGGTTCCTATGAGATTTTGTTGAGGCGTTATACCAAAAATAGCCACCGGGTGACTCCCAAACTCCATAGAATGCTTTTTTAAATGTAATTTTCTGTCACAAATGTATACATTCCTCTCTCAATTTTACTTCTATTACAAAAGAAAACCAAATATGGAATCTTGAGACTCAGTCCTTTCCAACGATATGTATTTTGTCAAGGTTATAAAAAGTTTAGATTGTAAAATACAGTAATATATTTTGTAATATGACACTTGACACCACCCACTAAGGGGGAGGATACGGCTAAAAGATTTAAAAGTACCATTTCCATGGTAACGCAATGTCCGATTTCAAAAGGGTTTTCGCAGGATTAATTTTGAGCTTTTCAACTAATTTTAAGCTTTCAAATTATATATAATTTATGATGATTACTAAAATATATGAGAGGGGGAAAAGACAACGAAAAAAAGAGCACCAGCCTTTATTAATCCATTATGGAAGTTCTGGTACAAGTGCACTGGAGGGTTTAAAAGCAGAAGCTTGTATTTTAAGCTTCATAAATTGAGTAAAAAGATTTTTTTTTAGTTGATCTATGAAGTTTAATGTTATGAATCATATATTCTTAAAGGGGTCATATGATGCGATTTTGAGTTTTCCTTTCTCTTTGGAGTGTTACAAGCTGATTGTGCATAGATAAGATCCCTGAAGTTGCAAAGACTAAAGTCTCAAAACCAAAGAGATATTCTTTATCAAAGTTAAGACTATGCCACACCCCCCTAAAACGGCTCGTTCTAACACGCCCCCACATATCTACCTCACTAGGTGGAAATATTTGCATAATGCAGCCCAAATGTTCAGCAAAGAAAGAAGGCGTGGTTTCAGGAACAGCAGTAGTGTTGACGGCAGCCATGTCAAGGAGACGCTGTGTGTTTCTAGGCGAAAGCAAAAGCACTTTATGTGGCCTTCCGAAAGTAGATGCATTTAGGAATCTTTAAGATTAGTTTGTGATGTATGTTCACCCCATCGACTTCCATTTGAGTTTGTTTTTTTATTTTTCACACAAAGAAATGACTAATAAACAGTAATAAACCGCACACAACATGTTGTTCCTTTAAACCAGGGCTGCCCAAACTCGGTCCTGGAGGACTGGTGTCCTGCAGAGTTTAGCTCCAACTTGCCTCAACACACCTGCCTTTAAGTTTCTAGTATGCCTAGTAAGAGCTTGATTAGCTGGTTCAGGTGTGTTTAATTAGGGTTGGTGCTAAACTCTTCAGGGCACCAGCCCTCCAGGACCGAGTTTGGGCAGCCCTGCTTTAAACTTACCGTTTGATCCCTGTACAGGTGGGGTAACACTCCCATGGACGAGGCCATTCATTTCGGCCATCACGACGTCGTAACGATCCTGCAGGACTATCACAACGCTTACAGCCCTAAGGAGACTACTGCCGACAGCGACAAGGAGACGGCCGAGAAGAATCTGGACGGGATGCTGTAGAGATGATCTGTTGCGTTAAAACACTCCAGTTTTTTCCCAGTGAGTCTGTGTGTCTGAGGTACGCATTTGAGAAGAAAACATGCAAAACACAAAAAAAGCCTTTGGGCCCCTTTACCCTGTGTTGTGGTGTGTGTGTGTGTGTGTGTGTGTGTGTGTGTGTAACCGCCGTTAACATGGTCATTTTGTTTTATCTTACCCTTGGGGGAATGTAGCCTCATAAAGGTCTTATTTAGCTGTATCTTTACGTAAATATACAATATAAATTGAATATACTCAATACATGTATATAGTTAATGTATATTAATTTATGGTTTGAGAACCTTCATAGATGTATAATGTCAGATATTTAAGAAAAGATATCTAGGAAAAGGCAGCTTGACTGGAGAGAGTAGCATTGGAAGGCATGTCATTCAGATTTTTTTTTAACATTTTTTCTTTATCCTCTACTTTAGTCTTAATTTAGTTATCAACATGTAGTTATTTATGTGTATCATCTTGTGAATATGTTTCAAATGACACTGTTCTTTGACTGTCAAAAAATTTTTCACTTTTTTAATTAAATTTTTTTGTTTGCTTTATTTGTCTTTCAATATCTTTCTTAATCAAATTAAAGTAACACTTTACATGAAGTTTTAAAAAAATAAGTTTTACAATTACAGTTAACATTAGTTAATTTAGGTATCATACTAATAAACAGAATTTATTAATCTAAGCAATTAAAAAAAATATTCTTGTTCATTTGTTAATTCATATTGGTTCAAGATATTTTGTACTATTAATTTAAAATCTAATTAAAATGTAGAATCTGTAGAGAATTAATATCTGTAGAAATGAACAAATAACCAAGATTAATAAATGTTGTAAAAGTATTATTGATTGTTAATTCATGATTCACATCTACCTAATGTTAACTAACTGAAACCTATTGTGAAGTGTTACTGAAATTACTTCAAAGCACAAGAAGGACCATTTTCCACCTGCCCATTCATTATACTACAAGAATTTCCTGTATTTGATACCTATATGCTTTACAATAAGTTTCGTTTATGGTAACGAATTGAAACTTATTGTAAAGTGTGTCCAAAATTACTTTAAAGCACTAGAAGGACAATTTTTATACCTGCCTGTTCAGTGTACTACAGGAATTTCCTGTATTTGATAGCCATCTAACTAATGTTAACAAATTGAAACTTATTGTAAAGTGTTACTTACTTTACAATTACTTTAAAGCACCAAGAGCACCCATTCATTGTGCTACAGGAATTCCTTGTATTTGATACCTGTATGCTTAACTAATATTAACTGAAACTTATTGTAAACTGTCACCGTAATTACTTTAAAGCACTAGAAGGACAATTTTCTTACCTGCCGGTTCATTGTACTACAGGAATTCCCTGTATTTTGGTGCCTTTATACTTTACAGTTGTTAACATTAGTGAAGTGTCACCAAAATTACTTTAAAGCACTAGAAGGACCATTTTTGTTCCTGGACTTCCATTGTACTACAAGAATTCCCTGTATTTGATACTTATCTGCTTAATGTTAACAAATTGAAACTTATTGTAACGTGCTACAAAAATTACTTCAAAGCACTAGACTGACCATTTTCATACCTGAACTTTCATTGTACTACAGGAATTCTCTGAATTATTTGCTTAATGTTAACAAATTGAAACTTACTGTAAATTGTTACCGAGATTACTTCAAAGCACTTGAAAGACCATTTTTCACCCGCTCGTTCATTTTTACAAAAATGTATGGTATTTCAAACCGATATAACTTACACTAAGTTTGAATTTATTAACATTAGTTAAGTGTCACTGAAATTAATTTAAAGCACCAAAATGACAATTTTCGTATCTGACTGTTCATTGTACTACAGGAAGTTCCTGTATTTTTGAACAGGAACATTTTTCAATACTTAAGCATACTGGAAATCTTACAGCAATTGCCTAATGAATAATTATGTGGAAAACCAACACGAGTAACATCCAAACTGGGTTGCAGTGTCACCTTTGCTTCTTCTGCAAGACATTTTAAATCCAGGATGTGGATTTGTTGTGTGATTTAGTTTAGCGATCATATGAAAAAAGAACCAAGCAAAAATTTCACATTTTCTTTTATTCTCAGTACATGGTGAAATGACAAGTAAGATTGGAAGTCGAAAATAAACAAAAATGCACTGGCATTAACGCTGATTGCTATGGACAAAATGCAGTCTAAACAATCCCGTCAGTTGTGTAGCTTGGTGAAGTCCCTTCAGAAGCAGTTGGTTTCTATAAGCACATGTTGTATGCGGAAAAGCACATTGATTGTTCTAATATACAGTACGGATGACAAAGAGGCGCGCATATACTTGAAAAACCTCCAAAGCTAAGTCAATCTCAACTATGTGAATTTTTTCTAGTGGGACACTATTGTTAAAGTATTGTAAATGTGTGTTTTGTAATGTGTGTGTGTGTGTGTGTGTGTGGATGTACATGCTTAACTGTGGACAATTTGTTATTTATTACAAAAAAATTGAAGCAACACAACCAAAAAAACAGTACAAACAAAAGTAGGTCACAAATTGTATCCAACTTCATTCGTGTTGCACTTTAGCCAATTTTATTTGCATTGTGCAATTTCTTGTTTTTGCGGAGAAAGCTGTTACGATGCATTTTTTTTTATTACTGCTATGAATGTATTTCATTGTTGTTGTGAAATTTCCTTTAATTTGCTTTTATTATTTAACTATGCCATGCTGTAGATGTTCTAGATTTGTTCGAATTTAATGTCAATACTAATTAATATATTCCACACAAATGCTAGATAAAAACAATAAAGACTTTGAACATGCATAGCTTTTGATATTCATTATTCTTATCTTGTAGCGAGCTACATGCATCGGACAGACATTAATATGTACATTTTTGCAATGTTTATCTGTTGTTTTTTTTCACACGTTCATACACAATATTTTTCTTTCACCAATGTATGCAGCCTTTTCATATTGCTAATCTGTGCTGAAAGTTTTGAAGGTGCAAATTTTTAAGGCATTCCAAACGAGGTGGATTCCCACTGTAATAACTTTCTATCATGTCCAAAACAAATTAGACAAAAACAAATATTGCTCTGTAAATAAACATAGCAGTTCAATCCAGTGGAAAAAATAGAAACAAACAACAAAGCACATAAAGTGAACATAATACTAATAGAGCACCAGCAGGTTATGAAGAATCTTAAGAAAACTGATTTTTTTCTTCTTCACATATTTAGAAACAGTGTTTGGAAAGTAAACCTAACAGCTTAAAAGGTTTAATCAGACCTGAACTCCTGTATTTCATGGTTCTTTCTGGATGAATCTTTGGGGTGTTTGACCCCAAAACCAAACAAAGGAAACTTAAACTTAGGATCTTAAAAAGTCTATTTTAGGACCATTTCTGTTTTATTTTTTGCATTGTCTTTTTTTTTTTATGACAGTTCAGCACATTTCCTCTCCCATTTACAATAATGTGTAAATGTTCATTCCCATTATTCTCATAATGTATTACTGTAATACAGTTATTTTTTTATTATTAGTCGAATTCCTGTACTACAATAATTAAAGTTGGTACGACATACACTGCTATGTAAATGTTTTCAAATTAAAATAGTTTTATTCACATTAATTTAAATTAAATATTTGTTTGCATTACTGTAAAGAAAATGTGGATTAAACTAAATAGTCCTAAAAATAGGTTTCATTTTCTTTACAGAAAATAAGTTTGTGTGAAATTCATCCATCTAGCTTTTTCATTCACTTTCTTCACCCTTTTCAGTTACTTGGCATCTGAAGTGCTTTCATACACAACTTCACTGTCTAAAAAGGTTTCTAGAATAAGTGCGGAGGTAACAGTAGCGTTACTAAGGGGGCTAATTTGGTTGTCTTTATGCTATAGCTGACAGCGTAGACAGTGTCTTTCTAATAACGCTAGAATGAAAAAGACGACTACCAAAACCAGTGGCTATACCTCGACTAGATGTTCCCCTTTCATTTGCGTTATTACAAGAAAAAAACACTGAACGCAGGAAACATTTCTACTTTTCTGCATCATCTGTCCTTTCAGGTCACTTAAGAGAAACTTAAGTCTGAGGGCTGTGGGGAAAAAAACAGTATCAGCATCTATTTAAATTACATTTTTATATTTTTATATATATATATATATATATATGAATAATAGTACTCTACCTCAAAATTTAATGTATCGAATCTGTTCTAAAATAAAGAGAAATGGAGAGAATAACTGCTGTTAATAGTATTGCGTCAATTGTTATTGTAAATATATAATTATCATTTTTCATACCATGAGTTCCAGCTCGCCATAAACCTCAGGTGACATTGGCATGAGTGTGGTGTTAAAGTCTTGCGGCTGCCTAAAATGAAGCATTTAATGAAGCAGTAATTAATTAAGCATAAAATGAAGCAGTTATTTTTGCAATCCTGTTTGGTAGCACAGAAATGTCACATTGTGGGAGTTACTGCTCCACTTTGAGGCTGTTTGGTCATTTCTGACCAAAATATTATACGTTTTGGTTGTTTAGAAAATTTTTTACTTCATTGAAATTGTATGAAACTTGGTAAAGGTTTTGGCACTTGCTATGTGAATTTAAACATCATGGACATGATTCTAAACGGTTAAATGGTCCTGAAAAAAGTCACACTTGCACTGTTTGCGGTCAAAAATGACCAAGTTGGAAATAATTGGGAAGTGAATTTCATCTAGTGGAAACATTTGGTACTGCAGCCAAACAAAATCCTACTGCCAGCTCATTTTTTGCGATACTAACCTCAAATTTGGAACACAACTTGTTTAGATTTATGGCGTTGATTTTCATACAGTTTTAGTGTGAAATATGTTTCGGAAAATATACATTTCATATAAAATTTAGAAATAATACTTTTGTGCATTTTTCATAATAAACTTCTATTTTTTTTAGTGTCACTTTTTAACTTTATTTAACTTTTTTTCACTTCAGCAATAATCTTCTCCAAGTGTCTTCTGTGCTCCAAAGTATTCAAGATTTATGACCGTTTAAGTTAGAAATGTCCTTTTCAGGTCTATGCTCAAAAAGTGGTTAACAGGTAATAAATGAATCATAACTATTACATAAATATAATTTAGTACCATAAAATCCCCTAAAAATACAAAATTTTAAATAAAAAACATTATCGTACTAAAACAGTGCATTCACTGAAATAAAAAAATTAAAAATTGACCATTTTTGACCACCGTGCAACAAGAGGGTTAAATATTGACTTACATTTCAGAGATGGAGATGAGAGTGGTGCTGATGTATCCCTCATGTAACTTCTTGTCCACATCCATTGGTTCTTGCTCTGGATAAACAAATGTTTATGTACATTCTTTTATACATTTATTCATAATTTATATAGTTTGCGACTGTGTGTTTCTTACTGTCGGTAGGTTTGGAGTAGTATTTTTTGAAGGCGTCATCTTTGGGTATACTGGGAAAAAGGAAGCGCAGAGGGTTTTCCGGGACGTTGTCGGCGGCCATCACGCGGTAGTTTCGAATGATGTCGGGAAGTGAGACGGCAGAGAGTTCCTTCTTCGTGTAGGGCTCCACGGAGCGAATCTGTGGCTCTTCTAAACAAACACAACACCAAACCCACGTAATGAGCATTACATTTGCAAAATGGGTTTGATTTCCGTCCAAAGTTTAAGCAAAAAAATCTAAATTTGTTGTTTTTGGACGTTTTGATTTCAAGACCAAATGTATTTTTTATTGTTCCACAGTGTGTCAGAGTGAAGGAAAGTCTCACCGTTTGCGTCGTGTTCAACCCAGCTGAACGTAATGGCTCCATCACGGTTGCTCTCGCTGAAGCGCAACAGAAACGTCCCGGGAAGTTTGTCATAGAGCAGAGCTTTAGTTCGGTCCTTGGTCACAAACCCCATTATACAGCTGCGAGAGACAGATGGGGTTAAAGCATGTTTCTGCTTGATCAATAGACAAGCAGACCATTTTTGGCCTGTTTTTACACTTTGAAACTTTAGACGCAATCGGAAAAGAGAAGACAAGTTTTTGTTTTAAAAATAAATATAGGAAAAATATTTCCTATGGTAATGAAAACTTACCACAGATTCTGTCAATTGTGGTTTTTATTTGTTTACTTTTATTTTATTGATTGATTGATTGATTTTGTGTTTTTATTTATTTTGTGCCTGACGAAGACCTGATGGTCAAAACGTTGAACCAAGAAATTCCTTGGGAGCAGTCTTATCAGTGTGCAGACAATTTTTTGTTTTGTTTGTATTGATCTTATTTTTTGTCCTGCACCTGAGCCTTCGGGGTTTTGGGATGTGCACTTTTTTTTTGTATTTTTGTTTTCATTCATTTATTTAACCCAGAGCATTCCTGAGTGGGATATTTTTATTTATTTATTTATTTTTATTTAATTAAATTTTTGTTTTGTTTTGTTTTGTTTATGCATAAATCTAACAATTTTGTGACAGACTTAAAGGCAGAGTAAGGGATTTCTGGTAGCCAATGTTGATATTTGAAATCACCAAAACACACACGCCCCTACCCCAAAAGGGTCTTGCCCCTATTTTGATAGCTCCGCCCCACATATACGTGCGCAACCCAGGCAACGATTAGTTCTGTGAAACAAAGCAAAAAAAATCACTTACTCTGCCTTTAATTTAGTATTATTTATATACCATTTTATTTTTTATTAATATTTTGAATTCACATTTATTTTTACATTTTCAGTGTTCATTTCAATTTTTTGTAATTTTGTTATGCTTTTGTCAGTTATATTCGTTTTTGTTCTTTTTAAACATAATTACTTAGATTTCATTTATTTTTATTTCAGTTTTAGTTTTTATTTATTTCCAGATAATAATTTTAGTGCTTCAACTTAAACTTATTTCATTTATTTGCCAAGGCAACATTTCTCATTTTCATTTAAACTTTTCCATGTAATGTTGAGTTTTATGTTTAATTTTGTGTGCTTTTGTCATTTTTATTAGTTTTTGTTCTTCTTAAATATTTAGGGGCCAAGCACCGAAGGTGCGTGGGCACCTATTGTATCCTTTGGCGTTCCTATTATTATTCTTCTTCTTCCATTTCTTCTTCCGCTCTTGAGTCTATGGCAGCCCATAGAACCGCTTGCGGGAAAGTTGTGAAATTTGGCACATTGATAGAGGACAGTCTCAACATTAACCACAGCAAATCTGGAGTCTCTAACTCAAACTCTCTAGCGCCACCACTTGTCCAAACTTTCACTCATGTTTATGCTAATAACTTTTGAA